ACACGGAAATAAAGTACCGAACACGAAAATATAGTACCGAGCCCGAAACTAAAGTACCGAATACGAAACTATAGTACCGAACACGAAACTACACTGATGGTAATGCACTTGAATAACACAACTATCACACGCGGTCCCGAGATGAATATATTTCCGATAAAATATACTTCCGATTTGATTATCCTCTACACTCAAGGTCAACCCCTACGGCTGCGCGACTTCGACTGACCAAAGTACCAGAAGTTCCGAGCCCTCGAGGTCTCCAAAGTTTTCCTTGTTGTTCTCGAAAACAAAAGAGTGGCTTCGATTTCCAAAATATCCCTACATTTCGGGTTTCCCAGGTGAAAGGTCAGTGCAAGCTCACAAAAGAAAATGTCTTCATTGAACTGAAAACTAATTGGATGTATTTCTATCAAACGGAACTATGTGCGTTACGACATTTAGCCCCGAGACCCATACGAATATGTCCATAACAGGGCTCACGTCATAATGCACGTAGTTCCGTTTGATAGAAATACGTCCAATTATTACAATAATTAATGAGGGTACCTGGATTTCCCGGATTAATTCATCTCTCACTTTTCACAACTTTCCTTTTTTTCCCCTGAAAAGTAGTGCGGGTTCGTCCATGAATTACAGAACCCATTTTTCCCGACCTTTGACCTCTCCTTCTCCCTTTGTCCAAAATGTCACTTACCTCCAGACACCCCCCCCTCCCTTCCCCGAAAAATTTTGTCATTTCAAGCGTGCCTCCCTCTTTTGCGTAGGTGTGGGTCGTCGCGAACCCTTGCCACGGGCGTATCACATACGAATTCAAGTGTTTAAATTACTCAAAAATAGCATAAATCACATAGGAAAAATCTAGAATCCACTCCTCTTTCAAGGCATTTCTTGACTGTAATCGACTCGGCTTGAATTCTGCCGTGCTAAGGAAAAACGCCGCATGAAAATTCGAGAGTTGTCAAGTTTCCATTGATAAAGATTGTAATTTTACGACATCCATGCATATTTTTCCTTTAAAATTTCAGATATTTACATTAAATTGCGTGCAAAATCGTTTGAAAATTTTGGGGGAAAATATTAACTATTTTCGCGGTAAATGGATCAGTTGCGTTGGTCACAAAATCGTGGTTTTATGCTTGATTCTTGTAGGTTCGCTAAAAATAATAAGATCCGTCCAAACAGCAACTTTCTACAGTGCATCACTGACTGATAAAAGCGAGGTGGAAGAAACCTGGTACGTCACTACCGCGATGGAAGACGCCAAAATCCGGCTCTTCAAAAGGCAATATATCGGCTAATATTGAGGGCAGAGAGTTTGGATGGTATTATTTTTAGCTGATCTACAAGAATCCATCATCAAAACATGATTCTGTGACCATCGCAACTGACCCAATCCGGTTTTTGTCAAAGGAAACTTGGCAACGTCTGAAGGCTCATACGGCCCTCTTCCTTAGCTCGACTTATACGGCGTTCTTTCTTAGCACTACACTGCCGTGCTAAGGAAGAACGCCGTATGAACCTTCAGACGTTGCCAAAATTCCTTTGATAAAACTCGAATTTCTCGATTTTCGATTTTCGAGTTTTTTCGAAACTTATGAATATTTTTCTTCCAATTTTTCAGGGAATATTCTTTGTATTTTGATCGAAAGTTCCTGAAAATTTCAAGGAAAAATATTCATAATTTTCCTAAAAAATAAACATTATATCAAAGGAAACTTGGCAACTCGTGAATGTTCATACGGTGTTCTTCCTTAGCACGACAGTACAGAATTAGACACTAGGACTTGGATTTAATGTGCTACTGTCATGTTGCCTGGATTGAGCTTTGTGAAATCCTCTCGGACCCGGGCATCCGATGCGTCTCAATCAAGATGATCAGGATGCATTTCCCCGAAAGGGCAATTGCGCCGACACGAATGCTCGAATGCATGCGATGACCGCCTCGGCGAAGAGATGCTTTCACCTATAGCCATTCATCTCATCCTCATCTCGTACGCAGCATCCTGGGCTCCCGCCTTGCCAGATCGTCATAGACGTCGACCGTCATTTCGTCGCTCCTCCCATGTAACGTCGTATCACGACTTCCGCGTGAGCCGCGAAAAGCATGGATTTGTATGTAAAATAAAGCTCACGTGGAAATTGAGATGTGTCTTTTCGTCGGAGGAGCGACGATTTGACGCGTGATAATGTCTTGATTCGTCGATCCTTTGATGGAGGGACGTAAGCTCGTTTCAAGGTTGGGAAATTGATCGAGGAATTCGGTTTTTTTATAGAAATATGACCGGCAATGGCCTGATCATTGCAATTGATCGACAAAGTTAAAGATAAAGAAGATTAAGAAAAAATATAGCGATCCTATTGATAGAAACCGCCGATCATCGAAGACTGCGGTCCGCTGTTTAAGACAGGGAAAAGGTAGGATTCTCCAGGGAATGACAAATGAACGTATTTCTACCAAACGGAACTATGTGCATCAAGACATGAGTCCTGAGACCAAATTTCAGGGAAAATCAGGGAATCTGTTTCAGAAATCGGGGATTTTCTCATAAACCGCTTCCAGACTTTTCATTTTCAGTTTTGAACTTGGTCAGCTATTATTTACCTCTTGAATTGTATATTCGAATCTTCAAATCATCAACATAATAGAGGGAATTTGATTGACCAGATAATACAAACACCAGGAACGTTTTTGGAATTAAAGATTTCAATATGCGCCAAAGAATCGGCCGGAAGATCGGGGGTAAAATCTATATAATCGTACCCAGAACTCCGAAAAATTTACCGAGAAAATTCCGAAGAAGTGGGAGAAAACTTAGGTTTTTCATCAGAGAATGATCTCTTTTGAGTCAGGGAATGCGCATGGCTAAGAATTCCAGACAAACTGACTAAGGAGGAAAATGATGAACTGAATCTATTTCTTGGGCGGCCCTTACTTGGACCGAGTTCATCAGAAAGGAACCAACTCACATTTTCGAAAAAATTGAGTTAAGAATGTTTTCGAGTTCCACTAGCCGTATATTTTCTTCTGGCAAAAACTGAAAGTCGAAAAACAGATATTAGTATGTAAGAAGAAAGTTTACTCTCTAAATTGAGCCGTATGCAAGAATAAAACCTCGAAACCTCCTTTCCTCAGTATCAACTGGACGTATTTATGCTAAAAGGAACTATATGCATAAGATTTGCATGTAACATAGTTCCTTTCAGCAGAAATACGCCCAACTTGATGTGGGTTGGTTTCTTCCTGATGAACGCGGTCCTTTTCTTATACTTATCTCATTTGTCCACGCAACCACGTGTCTCAACCAATCGGATCGGTCAATTTTCTCTGTGTTTTCTTTGTCGATAGCTTTGTCTATCAATGTCAATGATCAGCTCTCAGGCAACCTCTGATATTCAATATTAATGCTGTTTTTGGTTATACTGGAAAAAAAACACATTGGATCCAGAGTCCAGACTCTTGAAAACATTGACAAGAAAAAATACTCTTGATTCAATCAGATTATTGCTTAAATCAAAAGGAAATACGCTCAAATAAAGAGGCTTGGTTCTTGATTCAAGCAAAAATTCGATTGAATCAAGAGTATTTTTTCTTGTCAATGTTTTCAAGAGTCTGGACTCTAGAGTCAAAGTTTTTTTTTCTTTCCAGTGTAAATCCATTGAACGTGCTCTACCGCGTCCAATCTGGCATCTCTCTCGCTGAGGCACCCCGCTGCGGTTCGATCGCCGCAAGATGGAAAGTTTTCATCGGTCAAAGCTCATCTTTAACAATCACATCATGATTCCAACACTCAACTCGATGTGTCTGTGTTATACAGCACCCCCTCCGCCTCCCCTGTGACCCCTTTCCCCCCTCGTCCCAGAAATTACCCTCGATTGCTCCGAGGAGGGAGGGGTGTGATAATCTCTGAACATCGCTCACCATTGCTTTCCTCTCGCCAGTATATCTGATTTTGGCGCCAACCATAAGAGTAGTTGCCCTAGCTAGAGGTATAAAGGCATCAGCCGGCGGTATAGTTAATCCAACCACGCTTATGCTGACTGTGAGGGCACCAGCTAGAGGTATGGTTTATCCAACCACTTTTTCAGCTGACCTAACCATACCTCTGGCTTGTGCAACTACTCTAATATATGGCGCTAAAATCGGCTAGAAGTATAGTTGGGATTTTGATACTTTTTTCCGTGAATTTATGATGCATCTGCTAATCAATAAAGACATATCATTGATCTTCCAACTGTACCCTTTCTGGTCATTTTTGAGGCTTGTCATCTTATAATCAACTACTGAATGCCTTTTCCCATAATACAATCTCCGAGCAAAGACTTCTGCCTAAACGAAAGTCAGCGTATTAGAATAAAGGGGGGGGGGGAAATAAGATATATTGTTCAAAGATCAGGAAAAGTCATGGAAGTAGGAACTTTTGAAGTCAGGGAAAAGCAAAAATAGTCAGGGAAAATCCGAGAGAGTCAGGGAATTTGAAGATGAAGAAACTACGGCAAACTTGCTCAGTTACAATTTACAATTTAGATGGTATTTTTTCTTTATGAATTGGACATTCTTTATAATTAAGGGGATATTCACATAAAGTTTCGAGGCGTTGTTGTGTCGATTAGGTGTCCGGTAAAGACGAGAGGAAAGTAGACAACGTGAATGTGGAGTTAAGCAAAAATGTCAAATCTACATTGCGATGTCACAAAATCGCATCTCCTATTTTACATTTTCGGAAGGAAGCCGCGTAACATCCTCACTCGGAAATTTTTGTACTTTACCTTCTCTGTATGAAGGTTATTTCCACAAAATTTTAAGCGGAAATATTTTGAAAATGGTTTCCCTCCAGTAACCTCCCCAAGCGTTTCGTTCCTCAGGCATTATGCATTACACGTTACGCTAACGATTTTATACTCTACAGTATGATATGTTTTTTACCAATTTTTTAATAATGTACATGTTACATTTTACGAGGATACTTCACCAATGTTTTTTGGGTTTTTCAGAGGCTGCAAAGTTTTTGGCGCTCCATATGAATGGATTGAACCTTGGCTGAGATCACCTTGTAGGGCGAGAAACAATGGACGGGGACTTTGAATGGGTGCCCGATGTGCAGCTCAAAAGAGAAGTCTTGTCTGATGAAATCACAGAATACGGAGAATATGGAGCAGGTAGGGTTCTACTGTGTCTTTTATCGTTCTTCCTCTGCCCCGAAACATTTCTCCAACTTCCCAATTTTAACAAACATGTGTGTAATTTAAAGAAAAAATTAAAAGACTACGCACAACGAGTTTCACACTTTGCTTTTTTCTTTTTTATTGAAGAAAAGAATAGTGTCACGGGAACTCCTCTCGGAAAAAGCATACTCGCGTCACATTCAATCTTATTCAAGTCAGTTTTATTATTGTATACTAGCCGTTCTGGACGCACTTCGCGCGGCCNGAGAGTAGAGTACCTTTGTAGGGAAATTACGGACATGTCGGTAATTTTGAGGATTAAGTCATAGAGCTTTCAGCGCTCATAAAGGCAGCAAACCTATGAATTCAAATTATCCAGAGTGATTAATTATTGCAAGTGTTACGACTCGTCGTTCAAAATTATCTCCTTCCGAACACCCATCCTTTGAGCTCTGGTGGTCCAAATTAACTCCCGAAATTTTAAAGTCTTTAAACAAGTAAATTTCAAAATTTAAGGCAATATCCTGCTCTCCGGCGTAAATAGAGTTGCTACTGATCGTCGTAATTAATTAAGTAGCTAACCAGCATGATCTTGTCTCTATCTTTCGGGGAATCTGTGTATTAAAAATCTCGAGTCTCACCGTGCGATGTTAAGTAATCGATCTTACTTACCTGCAACGCATAACCCATCCTGCGACACGGTTTGCCACACCTTCCACTCTGTACGAGGAATAGAGGGTCAATTGGACTGCATTTTGCAATTTGGAGCTATTAATTCTGGCTCAACTGAAAAAACACTTATGTGCATAGGGGCTTTAATGGCACATTCGTTGTCTTTAAATCGGGCCGGAAATTATAGCTCCTAATTGCAAAATGCAGTCTCATTATCCCTAGTAAAAGTGAGTCAGCCTGACGTGAGTCTATGTTTCATAAACTACCCTGAGTCTGACTGATTCAGGCTGATGTCAGCCTGCGGGCCGATTATTGAAATTGATAGACAAAGCTATAGACAAAGAAGACATAGGGGGTATAAAGCAATCCTATTGGTTGAAATGGGTGGTTCTCATAGACTAAGGGGGAAATGATAGACTAATTGTCGGGTCTCTCGTGGGTTGCCGTTAGTTAGTCTATTACCTACCTCCTTTGTCCATTGCAACCACCCGCTTCCACCAATAGGATCCCTCCATATCCTGTTTGTCTTCTTTGTCTATTGCTTTGTCTATCAATTTCAATAATCAGCCCGCTGAACGGGTCTCCAAAAGTAGCAGCCATTATTGCAAAATACAAAAATGCACACTTTACCTGAACCGCAGCTAATGGCTTCGAATGCCCCTCGTAGTTGACGAATTCGTCGTAAGTGAAGAAGCCCTTGACGCAGTCTGGGACATCGCCCAGACACAAAACGTCGTCCACCGAGAGATCAGTGTCGTCCATCGCCAGAAATTCAACCCCTGCATCGTTACAAGCGATGTGGATTCGACCATCGGGGGTCGTTGCTAGGCGACCGGCCAGGGGAGAGAAGTGCGCGAGGGTAGTGGAAAGGGATTCCTTGAGGGAGGCGAGGAGACGATCGAATGAGAGACCCGGGGGATGAGGTAACAGAACCCCGATTTGGATGTACTCAAGCGCCAACCGTGAGATGTCTGAAGTCGAGAGCTTCAGGGATTCGACGTCCGACTTTCGGGCCGGAAAAACCATGCATTTTGAGATGAGAGTTGCTGTGGATTTAGGAGTGGACATAGTGATGTTCGCCTCCACAGGTTTTCTTAAACCGAACTCCATGTACGGGGAAAGGTATTTTAAAGTTTCGAAATTTGTAAATTGTTCGAATCTTGCGCGCGAAATTCGAAGCTCCCCTCTTACGGGACGACGAGCGGAGTGACGAGGTGGACTTATGACTGGAACACAACGAACGTGCAGAATACGGATCTTGAAAAACGGAAATATTGCTCGTCAATAACGAAACGGATCACACAATGGACAATCACTGTGATTCTTCAACGACTATTCTGCCGTACTAAGGAAGAACGCCGTATGAACATTCGAGAGTTGCCAAATTTCCTCTCAGAAAATGGTTATTTTTCAAGGAAGTTGTGAATATTTTCCCTCGAAATTTTCAGGAACTTTAGGTGGTATTGCGAACAAAATTATCTGGAAAATTGGAGGAAAAATATTTGCAAATTTTCCAGAAAATTCGTGATTTACGGGAGGAAATTTGGCAACGCCTGAAGGTTCATACGGCGTTTTTCCTCAGCACGGCAGTATTCGAGGCTGCGCATCTTTTCCGGCTTCGGAATAGTTTTATAGACTCGCCTTTTATTCGCCGGGTTTTGCCAGCTCGCCCAATTTAATTTTTTCTCTTGTTTTATGGCAACATTTAACGAAAATGAAGATTCGACGTTTCATATTTTCGTGAATTCACGTCCCTCATACAGCGTTGCCAGCGGTCTGGAAAACCGGGGAAATTACAGAGTTGTCGCAGTCAGGGAAAACCGGGAAATGTCAGGAAAAATGACAAAAATGTCGAAAATGTCAGGGAAAAGAGCAAAATTTAGATGGTATTTTTTCTTTATGAATTGGACATTCTTTATAATTAAGGGAATATTCAAATAAAGTTTCGAAGCGTTGTGTCGATTAGTTGTCCGGTAAAGACGAGAGGAAAGGAGACAACGTGAATGTGGAGTTAAGCAAAAAAGTCAAATCTACATTGCGATGTCACAAAATCGCATCTCCTATTTTACTTTTTCGGAAGGAAGCCGCGTAACATCCTCACTCGAAAATTTTTGTAATTTACCCTCTCTGTATGAAGGTTATTTCCACAAAATTTTAAGCGGAAATATTTTGAAAATGGTTTCCCTCCAGAAACCCCCCTCCCCAAGCGTTTCGCATCTCGGGCGTTGTGCATCACACGTTACGCTAACGATTTTATACTCTACAGTATGATATGTTTTTTACCAATTTTTTAATAATGTACACGTTACATTTTACGAGGATACTTCACCAATGTTTTTTGGGTTTTTCAGAGGCTGCAAAGTTTTTGGCGCTCCATATGAATGGATTGAACCTTGGATGAGATCGCCTCGTAGGGCGAGAAACAATGGACGGGGACTTTGAATGGGTGCCCGATGTGCAGCTCAAAAGAGAAGTCTTGTCTGATGAAATCACAGAATACGGAGAATATGGAGCAGGTAGGGCTCTACTGTGTCTTTTATCCTTCTTCCTCTGCCCCGAAACATTTCTCCAACTTCCCAATTTTAACAAACATGTGTGTAATGGACCACTAGACAAGGCACGAATTTAAGCATTCTGATACATATTTTTTAACCAAAATTTCACGTAAAGCACGATGCGCACAACAAAAATTACCGAAATTAACTCCTTTCAATGATATTAAATGATTCCTGATGCGTGAATTCAAACCGCCCGCTCATTAAAACTTAATGCTCTACGTGATTCACATCGCGCGCTGAACATTATCATGACAGTCTTTGCGATATAAAAATCTGGCAACCTCAATTTTGACGCTTGCGGTGCTTATAATTTGAACAACACATGGTGGGTTATGAACAGAGATCGATTGAGAGGCTAGCTGAAACTGTTGTGGTGCGCGATTTGACTCACGTAGAGCTTTGAGTTTCTTGTGAGCGGGCAGTTCAAAATCCGCGTAACCAATGTGAAATAAAAAGGTTAATATCTTCATCAGGAGCTGGTTTCAGTAATTTTCGTCGCGCGAATCGTGTTCTACGTGAAATTCTGGTTAAGACACATGTATCAGATTGCTTGAATTTGTACCTTGTCTAGTGGTCCATTAAAAAAAAAAATTAAAAGACTACGCACAACGAGTTTCACACTTTGCTTTTTTCTTTTTTATTGAAGAAAAGAATAGTGTCACGGGAACTCCTCTCGGAAAAAGCATACTCGCGTCACATTCAATCTTATTCAAGTCAGTTTTATTATTGTATACTAGCCGTTCTGGACGCACTTCGCGCGGCCGTCACGGCCAGCCAAGGGGCTGCGCCCCCTGGACCCTTGATCACTCGCTACGCGAGTGACATTCGGCTCGCGCCATTTTTCTCAGTGATTGGACATTTGATCACTAAGATGATAAGTGAATTTTCGCGATCGAATGTCATTCATCAAACGAATTGATCAGTGCTGAGTGATGCCGATGATCGGTGATATCAGGAGCCAATCAGAGCTCAGATTTTTTTCCTAAATGAAATTAAGAAGAAAATAAGAAAACACGGAACACTAAAACACAGAAATTGCGAAAACACCAGACTTGAATTGACAAAACACAACAACAGAAAGAGATGACAGAACAAAAATTTTGGTGAGAGATGAAGTTTCTGACATCGATTGCATCAATTCAAAAATCGAATTCAAGTCCCGAGGTGAATTCGAAATTTCAAATTGATGGATTTCAACGGTCTCTGGTGAGACCAACGAAGAAGTCGAATTTCATTGAAAAAAAATGCACAATCGTCGAATATCATTCAACGGTGAATGATATTCGATCGCGAAAATTCGCTTATATACATTTTGGAGACTCTGGAGGCAACAATTTTTGTCACAGAACCTTGTTGCCGGAGCGTGCCATCATTTGCTCATGAATAGATGTGTGGAGATGAAGCGATGATGGGGATCGATCATTTCTTCAAAAACGCATTTGACTGCGGGACGTCATCCCATCGGGTGGCGGAAAAAGACAATCCATGGATCTCCTTCCGCGATTTGACTTGCTGAAGTGGCAAAAGTTCATCTTTTCCTCTTAAGAAGATTATTGGTGGCACAGCAGGGGTCTAAAAACTGCTCAACGTTGGTATAGTTCGAGTTCCGAATTGCAATGAGCCCACTCGTGTTTTTTCTTATACCTACTTTCATCGCATATAAATTTCTCTGATGTTTTTGTTTTATTCTCTCTGATTGCTTATTAGTAAGCATATCCTCATTTCATTTCCTTCCCCTTTCCTTTTTCTCTTTCTGGAGCATCTGTGTCTATTTACAATTATTATTTTAAAATAGCTTTCCTCTAGTATACAATTGATGCTTCAAACGTAATGAATTGTTTTAATGACATTTTCGGCTAAATCATGGGTTTTCCCAGGAAGGCAGCCTCTCGTCCCTCCCGGACTCTATTGTTGTCAGATAAGTTGCTTTTTTAGCACTTTTCCCAATTCAAATCCATGTAAAATATTCACATCCATCGCACAATCTGGCAACCTCTCGAGTGAAATAGAAAAAGGTAGAATCGCTGAAAGTCTGAATCCTTCGAAGTTTATATTAATGATTAATGATATTAGCAATTGCAGGTATACCTGCAAGAAAAAAAGTGCGGTCCTATGAACTGAATATACGGTGTTCATTATCGGCCGTATTGTTCGGTTCATGCAACCGCTCCCTTGGGTCTGGGAACCTTATCCTCGGTTTGTTCAACTGAGCTTCTTCGTTAGTCCTGTTCGGTTTGAATGCTCGGTTGCATAAATCGAGGATACGGTTCTCAGAACCGACAGTGCGGTAGCATGAACTGAACAGTGCGACCGATATTGAACACTTTACATTCGGTTCACATGACCGAAGTTTTTTTTCTCAGTAAAGAAGTCCGATTTACTTTAGTAAGTCGCACTTATCTGTATTGGTTATTCAAGTAATACCGCCTTTTATTTTCGGTACTTAGAATAGAACATTCGCTTGCTTTCGTTAAAAAGAAAAGGTCAACTACGGCGAAGTTCTTCAGTCGGCGCGAGGTATTGACTCGCACAATTTAATTTTATCTCTTTTTGGAGTTTCATTAATCGTATATTATCGAGCGGGCTGAATTTAATCCAACCTTTGAATTTTATTGAAACGAATTACATGAATGATGTTCCAGAATTTGGTCAGGATATCAAGCTCCGTGTCAAATGCAAGCTTCAACAGGAACCAGTCGTGTGCCTTGAGAAAATCGATCTCACATCATTCAACAATGGAACTTGTTACACCGGCGACCTCCAGAAGTCGCGGGTACCTCTTCGAGAACCGGACGTCGATTATCAGGGAGAACCTGATGTCGATCGTGAGAACAGCCAAGCAGAATCCACTTTTCTTGAACGGAAATACGTGACTTCGTCTCTACTGTCGGTTATAAAAGTAGAAGAAGTAGAGGAGGCAGAGGAAGATGAATCAGGTAACTGAATAGTTTGTTTAAAGTATCAAAGTCAGAATGTGAAAGAGGAAAAAGCTAGAAAATGAGAAAGATGGATTTCAGTTCAACATTCTCGGTGAAAGGAAATGTTTTTGACGCATTGTCACATAGGAAGGGTGAGTTAAGTTAGATGGACTGAAACATCTAAGAACCCTTCTTACGCGCACTAAAAATTGTGAAATTTGTGGGCATACATAGATAGAAGAGTCAAACAAGTTTGATAAAACCGGACGCTTTATTCTGGAACTACTAACAAGATAATTCGACTAAGACTTAAGACTTTGATTGAGCGTAAAGAATATAGCACGAGGCTTTTCGCAAGGATGGTAGGAATCGAAGTGTCTAACTCTCAGTACAGAAATTAGAGCTTAGACCCGAGAGAGCTTTATCTATCAATCCATCTTGTGACACTGTGTGATAAAAAGTATAATAAAGAAAGATGCGTGCGACTGATCACAGCAAGGAGTGAGTGAAGCTTGCTCGATGCTCGGTTTGGGAGAAAGGGAGATAGGGAGATAGAGAACCTTTATGAATAAATGCGTTGCGGTATACGCGACACGCATGCTAAGGGGTTCGCGAAAAGAGCTCCGTTCCTTAAAATATGGTTTTTGGGTCCTCGGCGCAACACGAACGTTCCTGAACTTTGGATTTGAGTACTTTTGGAAGCAAACGAAATTCTGGTTTTTCTTCTAAAGAAAATCCAAATGAAAAAAAAAAATAACTCACTAAAAATTTTACAAAATAGTCATAAATAAAACATGTCGACGGTGAAAGTCGGCAATCACATAACTCGTTTGCGGTGTCTGAAAATCTCCGCCTCTATGTCATTTTTTTAAAGGAGAACAAATTGATATTATTTCTTGAAGTTTTTGCAGAATTTTCTTCGCATTGAGAAGAAAAATCATGACAGTTTTAAAGAATTGCCGTTGAGTAGTTTACCATTTAAAAAATAAAGTATGAAAGGAAGTCTGCGACGTCGAAAGCCGAGTTATGTGATTGCCGACTTTCACCGTCGATGTGCTTGACTAAACGTAAAACTATTTCTCCGCAATGAAACAGATTTTTTTTTTTTTTTTTTTTTTTTTTTTTTTTTTTTTTTTTTTTNTTTTTTTTTTTTTTTTTTTTTTTTTTTTTTTTTTTTTTTTTTTTTTTTTTTTTTTTTTTAGTCGGGCAGTTTTCGAGACAATCGTTAAGCTTTCATTACTTTTTTCCTGGGGTTTTCGGGGAATTCTGAATTTTCCCTCCGTTTTTTGGCCGTTTCTGTCCGGGAAATCATGGAAATATCAGGGATTTTTTTTTTTTTTTTTTTATAAATTGTGAGACGCCGTGTAACGACTTCCGTAATATTTTTCAGGCAGCAAGAGCGCCATCCTTCGTCTGGTCCTGAAACAAGAATTGGACGCGGAATCCTCGACGAGCCAAGCGCCCGATTCCATCCCGGAAATCCAACGTGAGGACGAACCCGTCTCGAACAAATCCCAAGGAGACGGTAAGTGCGCAACCAATCTAAGGCTTGATTTAACGGTCAATTTCAATCGCCTTTTAAATTAGACAGTAAAAATGTGGCAAAGTTTGTCACACCCCTAAAAGAAGCATCCTGAGCTGGAAGTTTACGTTTACTTATTCTCGTAAGTTGACTTCTGACATTTCATCAAGTTTCACGGGAACTATTTAGGCACGAAGGGTTATGTCTTGCGGTGTTTCTATGAATCCGTTGCGCTGATCACTGAATCGCGTGTTGACGGTTTAAGCCTCAAAATGGAGATGTTGCATATGTGAGGAATTTGCGATTTGACTGTTGATATTTGTGTAAAAGTTTGCGAGAAACACGATGTGGCCACTGGTTTTCTCTGAAATCAACTCCCAAGCTCAAAGAAAGCTCTCAAGTCGAGGCCAAAATGGAGGGGATATCCCGCCCTACCCTGAGAGTCCACCTCTACATCAAAACAAACTCTCCATGCAAAGATAGGGAGCAAATACATTGACAGGGCTGCCACTTTATTTNAGGCTGCCACTTTATTTGGGGACTCTAAAACTGAAAACACGGCAACCCTGCTTAATGTATTTGCTCCCTATCTTTGCATGGAGAGTTTGTCTTGATGTAGACGTGGACTCTCAGGATAGCGTGGGATATCCCCTCCATTTTGGCCTCGACTTCAGAGCTTTCTTTGAGCTTGGGAGTTGATTTCAGAGAAAACCAGTGGCACCAACGTGTTTCTCGCACACTTTTACACTAGTATCAACAGTCAAATCCCAAATTCCTCACACATGCAACACCTCCATTGGCAAAGTGAATTGGTCTGTTGCACCGTTAAAAATGCGTTACTTCCCATCATCCTCAAAGGGAAACTTGACAGAAATGTTCCCTGCGGCAAGAAATGATGAATGGTGACGTTGAGATGAAATTCGCACAACTTCTGACTTTTTCACACGCAGGAATCAAGCTAGCAACTGTATAAACTCCGAAGTAAATATATGGTATTACGCGAAAATTGAAGGCAAATCTTAGCTTTTCGTCTTTCTCAAGTCACCGACATTTAGGCCGCGTTCAACAGAAAGGAACCAAGCCACATTAGCTATTGCCCAATTTAACTGGGCAATTTAATCTTTTACGTGAAAAGTGTTGTGCGGATTCCTTTGAAAATTTTACGAATTGCCCTCGCGCCGTTGAGAAACTTCACTGAAAGCACAAGAATCCGTGCAACCGTTTTCATGTATGAAGTTAAATTTCCCGAATAAATTTGGCAATAGGTGACGTGGCTTGGTCCCTTTCTGTTAAATGCGGTCTATTTTTGAATATTATGCTCGCATCTAACTTAGACTTCCGTATTTTCCACGATATTGAAGTGAGAATTGAGTGATCATTTGTGATGTAAAACAACCGCTCGGAAATTTGCGTATGTGCCACGATATTCAGGTGAATAACGTTTAATTCGTAATAATTTTACAAAACCGCTGGAAAAATCGCAAATTTGGCGCAATATTGCAATGATTATTGCGTAATTTTCATTTTTTCAGGAGGACTCGCCGGAAAAATCGCGCATTTCTTGCGATCCCGTGATAGAATGCGCGAAATGTCTCTTGACATTACGAATCTTCTGGGATATATCGCGTATTTCTCGTGATACTGCGATGAAACTCGTGTAATTATTCATTTTTCAGGCGCGGAAATTAAGCGAGCAACTATTTGAACTCCGGAGTAGGTATGTGGTATCACGCGAAATTGAAGGAGAATCTTAGCCTTTTTCCTACCGCAAGTGACCAATGATTATTAATATTATACTAGCTTGAAGCGAGTCGCCTCGATGGAAAAATCGCGTGTCTTCCGAAATATTGAGGTGATAATGGTGCGTTCTTTATGAACAGCTAAAAAATATGTGTATGTGCAGCGATATTCCGGAAAATAACGCGTAATTTTTAATGAACTCAAAAAACTGCTGGAAACATCGCAAATTTGCCGCTACATTTCGATGATAATTGCGTAAATTTCTTTTTCCTGACGAACTTGCTGGAAAATTGGCGTATTTCTCGCGATACTGAGATAAAACCCGTGTAATTTTTCAGGCGCTGCAATCAAGCGAGCAACTCTTTGAACTCCGGAGTGGGTATGTGGTATCTCACGAAATTGAAGGAAAATCTTGGCTTTTCGCTTGCTTCAAGTTACCGAGTTTTATGAATATTACGCTTCCATCGATTTACTAATTGCGTACTTTTCGCGACATTGAGGTGAAAATTGCGTGATCTCTAAGTTCTTAAGTAACCGATGGAATATCTGCGTATGTTTCGTGATCCGGGCAGTCTTCTACATCAAATTAAGGTCCTTACTTAGCTCTCTCAGACTTTACTTTCTGGCTCTAAATGTCTCTCTACGCTTTGTTTAATGCCTTAAGATGTACCCACCCGTTGATATACCGAAAGGTGCAGCCGGGCAGTCTTCTACATCAATTTAAGGTCCTTACTTAGCTCTCTCAGACTTTACTTTCTGGCTCTAAATGTCTCTCTACGCTTTGTTTAATGCCTTAACCTACACTACCTCCAGTCTTCCTACATGCTCTCTAATCATTGGCTGTCTTCATTTAAAGTCTTCTATTTTA